TGAATCCTAGAATACAAAGACAGATAATGAGACATATGAATTATTTAAAGAGAAAATGACTGATAATTTTCAAAAAAATAACATAAAACATAAACTAGAGATCTAGAAAAGTCAGAGAACACAAATGGTATAAAATCAACACACATACACACATACACACACACACATCATCATCATCATCATCATCATCATCATCTTCAAACTGCTGAAAACCAAGGAAAAGAGGCAATCTTTAAGGAAGCCTGACCAAAATAATAATAACAACAACAACAACAATAACAATAATAATAAATAAGAAGAAACACATAAATAAAATACACAGAAGAGCAAAGGTAGAACTATGACAGAGTTTTCATCAGAAACTATACAAGCTAGAAGACAAGGAGTGGTATCTTCAAAGTACTGAGAAGAAAAAGGCCGACACAGAATTCTACATTCAGTGAAAATATCTTTCACAGAGAAGATTTAGAAAAAAGAGGGGCACCTGGGTGGCTCTGTTGGTTAAGCGTCTGACTTCAGCTTAGGTCATGGTCTCACAGTTCATGAGTTCAAACCCCACATCAGGCTCTGTGCTAGTTCAGAGCCTGGAGCCTGCTTATGATTCTATGTCTCCCTCTCTCTCTGCCCCTCCCCTGCTCATGCTCTCTCTCTCTGTCTCAAAAAAAAAAGTCTTTAAAAAAAAGATATAATTCTTGTTCGACAGACCTACACTAGAAGAAATATTAAAAGAAATTCTTCAGGCACAAAAATATGATAATACACAGGAATCTGGAGCTACAAAAAAGTTACAAAACTCTAGAAATAATTGAGTAAATATATTTTTTTTCTTATTTGTACTTGTTTAAGCAGTAATTGTCTCCAAAATAAAAATAATAGGGATGTATTTTGGGTCTCTAGCATATCCAGAAAAAAAAATATATGATAAAAATAGCACAAAAGACAAGAGGAAATCATTAGATTGTAACGTTCTTATAATTATGTAGTGATATGATATTATGTGGAATTATTATAATTAATTGATGATATGTTATAAACTCGGGGGCAAAAACTGAAACAGTAAAGAATGTATGAAATTAAAACAATAGTGGAGATTAAATAAATTAATAAAAAATTCTATAGACATGATTGTCTATATAGAAAAATCCCAAAGAATTCCCAAAGACGTCCTAGAGCTAATAAATGGGAAGTTTCAGGACAGAAAGTCAGCCTAAAGATCATTCTATGTACTAGTAATGAGCAATCAGATATTTAATTTTAAAAATATCCTTTACAGTAGCACCAGTAAACATGAAATACTTGGGTTTATATCTAATAAAATATGTATAAGAGTTGTATGCTGATAACTATAAAACCCTGGAAAAAGATAGAAAAGAATACCTGAAAAGATGGTGAGCTGTATCATGTTCATTTAGAGGAAAGCTCATTACTGTTAATAGGTCAGTTTTCCTCAAACTTATCTGTAGATTCAACACAGTTCCAATCAAAGCCCCAGCAAGATCTTTTTCCTTTCGGTTGAAATTGACAACCTGATTCTAAAATTGATCTGGCAGGGCAAATCTATTTTGTCTTATATATAAATATAAATATAGAATACAATTGTAAAAAGTCACAATATTTTGAAGGGAAACAAATAGAGGGTTCACTCTGTCTGATTTTGAAACTTGGTACTAAGTTATTATATATTAATATGCAAAAAAAAGAAAAAACCCACAAAACTTTGACCCATACCATGTAGCACAGCAAAAATTAATTCAAGATAGAGCATATATTCAAATGGAAAATGTAAAACTATGAAGCTTTGAGAAGAAAGCAGGAGAAAATCATTGTGCCTTGTGTCAGGCAAAGCTTTCTTAGATACAACACTAAAAATAGGATAGATAAAAAGAAAAAAAATGAAAACTTTGGTTTCTTCATTATTAAACACTTCTTCAAAATATTTTTAAAAAGGAATGAAAAGTGAAAGACTGAGAAAAAACATTTGTAAAACACATATCTTCCAATGGACTTATATCTATCCAGATGCAGTAGGCAGAATTCTAAGATGGTCCCCAGCTTTTTTTGTCCCTTGATACATAAGCATTATACAATCCTCTCTCCTTGAATATGGGCTAAGCCTTTTAATATGATGGGATAGTCCCTTGATTAGATGACATAATAAAGGGAATGTGATAAGATAATTACTTTAGTGCTAGGAAACCATCATAGAGAATGGAGAGGGATTCTGGGTAAGCAGCCAGGTTGTGAAAATGCTACTTGGCTGGGACTTCAGAGTGGCCTTTATTAGCTGAGAGCATCCCTAGCCAAGAGTCAGCAAAGAACCAGGATGTTGGTCCCACCTACAGCAGCAAGAAACTGAATTCTGCCAACAACCTGACTGAGCTTTGATGAGGATCCTGAGCTCCAGATGAGGCCAGCTGAGAATGCAGCAGCTGACACCTTGAATTAGCTTGTAAGACTCTGAGTAGAGAAGCCAGTTGGCCATGGCCAGATTTTTGACACACACAAACGATGTGATAATACATGGGTGTTGTCACCAAGTTCGTAGTAATATTCACAGTGCTAGGAAACCAACACACAAAACTATATGAAAAATACTCAAAACCCAATAATAAGAAAATAACCCAATGAAAGTTTGGCAAAAGATTTGAATACATACTTTATTAAGTCAAAATCATTAACCATTAAGGATGAAAATTAAAACCACAATGAGACGACACCAAATACTTATCAAACAAACAAATGAAAAATGTTCTGTACATAGCAAGGGGTGCTGAAGATTCAGACCAGTGGGAACCCTCATACATTGAGAAAGTGAAAATGAAAAATGAAAAATGACATATAGCAAGCAGTTTTACAATTTCTAATACTTATGCACTTATCATACAACCCAGAAATTCCACTCAAAGGAAATGAAAGCTTACATTTACATAAAAACCTGTACCTCATGGTTAATAGTGGCTTTTTTCAATATTATCCTGAACTGGAAACAACCCAAACGTCCTTCAGCTGATCTCTCCATTTTCTATGGGTGCTGCAACAAATTGCCACAGTCTTAGTGGCTGAAAACAACACAGATTGATTATCTTATGTTTCTGGAGGACAGAAGTCTACTTAGCTGTCTCTCCAGGCTAAGATCAAAGCATTGGCAAAGCTTTATTCTTTTCTGGAGTTTCTAGGGAAGGATGTATTTCCTTATTCAGGTGTTGGCAGAACCCCGTTCCATGTGGTATAAGACTGAGGTCTAGTCTTCTTGCTGGTGGTCAGGTGGGTTCCACTTTAGCTCCTGGAGGCTCCTTTCTGGCTCTTACACATGGACACTGCATTCCAGAACCAGGAATAGGTGAGCAGATCCTTCGGACGCTTCCATCTCTCTGATTCATGTGATTATATTTGTGCCAGGATTACCTTCCCATCTCAGGGCCTGCAAATTTAATTACATTGGCAAAGTCTCTTTTTGCCATGTAAGGTAACAATCATGTTTTAAGGATTAGGTGCATGGTTATTTTTAGGGAGCCATTAACCTGCCTGCCACAACTGGTGAGTGAATAAACACAGTGGAATAAATCCATACCATGGAATACTACTCGGAAAATAAGAAGAAATGAATTAATACACACAATAAACATGAATACATTTTAACAGATTTTGCTAAGTAAAGGAAGCCTGATTAAGGGGCTTCATATTGTATGATTCCATTTATTTGACATTCCGGAAAAGGTGAAACTCCAGACACAGACAACAGAGCAGTGTTTGGTCAGAACTAAGGACTAGGTGATGACTTTACTACACTGGGCAGAGGAGTTCCTTGGTGTGTGTGTGTGGGGGGGGGAGGGGGGCTGGGACTGTGCCGTGTTCTGGTCATGGTGGTTACACAAGCGTATGAATTTGTCAAAACTTGCAGAACCATACACTAGAAAGTACAGATTTCAATGTATTAACATTACACCTTAATAAAATGAGTATATCTTTAACTGAGAACTTTATGTAAAATTTAGGGACACCTGGGTGGCTCAGTTGGTTGAACATCCAACTCTTGCTCTCAGCTCAGGTCATGATCTCATGGTTCATGAATTCAAGCCCCATGTTGGGCTCTGCATTGACCATACAGAACCTGCTTGGGATTCTGTCTCTCCCTCTCTCTGCACACCCCCCATCTCAAAATTAATAAACTTAAGAGAAAAAAAAACTTTATGTAAAATTTACCTCAATGGAGAAAAAATAAAATGGAGGACACAACTCCACCAATACCTATAAATAAAAAGAATAGGCTTTTAAAACCATGAGAAAGTACAGCAGATACTGAAGATTTTGTGGATGATCACATGAAACCTTTGCAAATATAAAATTCCCACAGAACAAATGAGCAGAAAATATAAAATATAAAAGCCAAAGACAGCACTATAAAAATATCTGCCATTTTAGTTCATCTATTGTTTATCATCTATTATCTATCTATCTATCTATCTATCTGTATATCTATCTATCATCTATCTATCTATCTATCTATCTATCTATCATCTATCATCTCTAAAAACAGATCTACTATATCATAGAAACAAATTGCTAATGAATTGGGAGGAAAAAAGTAAAACTGTAATTTATTTAAAATAGAGCATCTTCTGTATCTAAATGTAATATCCTTTTAAAACTCAAACTAATAAACAAAACTGGAGGACCAGACATTTCCTTTAAACAAATAAACAAGCAAGGCAAATAAACAAAAACATATACTTATCATGGTGCTGATAGCCACGTTCAAAATTGAGGCTGCACGTATGTGTCAGATGGGTGTTTGTACCTAAGTAAATTCAGAGTCCCAATTTGGGGGTTAGAAGGTAATCAAATATATATTTTTTAATATTTGTATTATATTATGTTATATTATATTATATTATATTATACATATATATGTATATATTTATACATATTATATATATTTATATATTATATATATGTATATGTATATGTATATGTATATTTATATATAAATACTTCTTGGTAGGTGCTGAGACAGAGGATCAGATCTGCTTCTCTGTGGCCTTAGGGTAGAGTTAACCCCTCAGGTGAGTATTTTATTGTTTGTAGTGGAAAATAAAGGAATTCACATCAAAACAGACTTACCAATATTTGGGAGGCTGCACTGTGCATAGTATTATACTGAGCTCAGTGAGACATATAGTAATCATATGAATCTGGCATCTGGAGCCCCAAGCACTGTTCTGGGTACTGGAAACACAGTAACCAAAACTGACAAGCTCTCTACCTTCTTTCAGAGACGATCAACAACTTAAACAAATTAAGGGTTGATATTAATATACTATATGATGGAGACAGTGAAGAAAATAAGCATGGTGCTATTACACTGATTGATTGATTAAATAATTCAACTAGTGTTTATTGAAAAGTGACTTTTATGTATTATACACCATTCTAGTCTTTGTGGATACCACAGCCTACAAAATAGATGAAGTCTATACCCTCTTAGAAACAAACATATTGACTGGCACCTATTTTACACTGGGTGGACAGAGAAGTTCTCTCTAGAAGAATATATTTACTATGAAACCTTGATTGTTGAGAAGAAGCCATCCATTCAAATCCCCATGGTGTTCCAGGTAGAAAGGGTATGTGATCAAAGCACCCGTGGGAAGAAAATGTTTCTGCCTAGAGGATGGAGAGAAAGTCAGGACTCCTACGGCACAGTGAATAATAGTGTTGATATCCAGGAAGTGAGAAAGTCTGGTGGCCCTTCCTCAGATACGGATTTTAGTCTCAATAATGGGAAGCTACCAATGAGTACCTGGAAAAGGAATGGCATGCAATAGATCTTTAGAATAATCACTTTGTTCTGGGGATAATGGCTGAAGTAGGGAAAAATAGTAGAGAGGAGACAACTTAGAACGTTTTTAAGGTAGTTGGCACTATTCATTATAGTGAATTTGATTTGAGTTCTGGAACTGAGTGGGGATACAGACATAGATGGATTGTTCCTTTGGTTGGTTGCTTATAGCAGACATGAAGTCAGATATGCCAAATGACCTTCTCCAGGTCATAAGCTAGTAAGTGGCGAGTCAGCATTTGAAAATTTAAGTCTCTTCTCTCAACACCAAAAAAGATGATCAAATTCAACATCTCTGGACATGTCAAACATTAATTCTTAGTCCTAGAATCAAGCAAAAAATGTTGCTGGCCTCATTTCCGTTTTCCTACTCCATACTCTTTCTCTACCTACTACTTATTGGAGTATGGGTGGAATAAGGTTGCTTTAAGTACATCTGGAATTAGACACAGAGCCAAACACACAAGAGGCATGAAAGAAGGATGTTTTGTATATACAAGGCAATCAGACCCAGGATAGTGCAGAGCCGTGGCTCAGTTGACTGAATAGGTTTTGACTTGTGCAAGAGGAAACCAGTCACGACCGTGTGAAGAATGGGAGAGACCACACTTAATGTGGAGGCTGAAAAGTTTAGTCATGGATATGTTGAGCATAGAATGTCTGATTGGCTATTGAATGAATGGAGCTTAATCTCAACAGAGTCACATGTGTTAGAGATAGTTTGGGGAGTCACCACCATATGTTTGTAAATTAGAAGGTGGTAATCATTGGACTTTGAAAAAAAAAAGTTTAAAAAAAGTGAGTCTTATGAACTGTCTTCAACTTCACCTATCAGAATAAAGGCTTTCTTATGCCAGGATATCCTGTTGACATGGTAGGTTTCTGAGTGAGTTTTCTCTCTGCTGAGCAATGTTAGTTATAGAGAATTTCAGGGTTTATATTTGTCATATCTAAATGGCATTTCTTTCAAGCACATAAATGGTCTTTACTGACAGGAAGCCGTGCAAATGTTCCCCTTTCACAATTTACTGAAATTGCTGGTTATTTTTAGAGAGAGTCAGGCATTAGTGAACTCAATGCTGAAAACAAGTCTTTGATAAACTGACACTTTACAACTCAACATAAATTGCACCATTTCCAATACCAATAATTCCATCAGACTTTTACATTGTGTGTTATAATTTTCAATAACATTTTAAAAATATGTTCTCAAGAATTTGAGGTGTTGCCAGGGCAACCATCACCCTAGTTTTATAGATGGGTAAGCTGAGGCACTGGAGGGTGAAGTGACTTGTTCAAGGCCCTGGAAAAACTAACCTCACTTGACTCTTATCAACTCTTTGCATTATAACATTTTCGGTCCCTTAATAATGATGAGAGAGAGCACTCTTATTATGTATTCAGTGAGTAAATCAAGACATTACCATAGTTTAATTTTAATAGTTTATGATTCTTCATAATGTTGCAGGCCTGTGTTCTAGAAGATATTAGATAAATTCTGAAAATTTAGGTGATATGGATATTTTTAAGAATGCTATGTTAATAAGATGATGGGGAATCAGGGTATAGTGGAGGTACAGTAGAAGTAGAGAATTAGTCATCTCTTACTGATAACATAGTCTGCAACTCAGGAAATAATAGAAGTGAATTTTTTTTTTTCTAGTGATTTTTAAAAGATGCTGCAGAGGCACCTGGGTGGCTCAGTTGGTTAGGCGACCGACTTTGGCTCAGGTCATGATCTTGCAGTTTGTGAGTTTTAGCCCTGCATCGGGCTCTGTGGTGACAGCTCAGAGCCTGGAGCCTGCTTCAGATTCTGTGTCTCCCTCTCTCTCTACCCCACCCCCCCGCCCCCGCTCATGCTCTGTGTCTCTGTCTCTCAATAATAAATAAACATTAAAAAAAAAAAGATGCTGCAAATTCCCAATACCTGTTGACTAAAACAAATTAATTCATATCATTACTTGAACTTCCCTTTGAGGAATTGATGGTCAAAGGCTGTCAGGCATAACTGAAGCTATCGATTATGAATACTGTTTTAATGAAACAGAGAGTATTTTTGAATCTATACTATACTGTTTGTCCTTTAAAGCCATATGAAGATGAGCCCCATGGAATTAACAGCTTATCAGGAAAGTACTTGCACTAAAAGCAACCACCAGCTTTTCTCCTAATGATACTGGAAATAATGATAAAAAACAAAAGGCCCCAAAAGAACAAATCAGAGAGCCAGGGCAAGTTTTTGTGGTCTTCTTCATGTCTGAAGCCTGGATGCTTCTGTCCCTTCTTCCATGCTTTTGAATGCTGTAAAGAGCTGGGATAAAGTTATCAAGACATGTGTGTTTGGGGGCGCCTAGGTGGCTCAGTCAGTTAAGCGTCTGACTTCGGCTCAGATCACGATCTCATGGTCCATGAGTTCGAGCCCCGCGCCGGGCTCTGTGCTGACAGCTCAGAGCCTGGAGCCTGTTTCAGATTCTGTGTCTCCCTCTCTCTCTGCCCCTCCCCTGTTCATGCTCTGTCTCTCTCTGTCTCAAAAATAAATAAATGTTAAAAAAAAAAAAAAAAAAGACGTGTGTTCCATACCTCCAGGCTGCTAGGATTAGTCAGCGGTGGAGGTGACGCAGAGAAACTAGTATGTTTGCACTGGTGTGATGCATCTATTATGAGCTATATGCTTGACATATTCTATCATTCATCACCCTCACAACAGCCTTGTGATATGAGTGCCGTAATCCCCACATTGCTGATGAGGAACTGGAACTTAAGACAATTTAAAAAATATATTCAAGATCCTACAGTCGCCAAATAATGGAGTTGGAGTTCAATCTCAAGTATTACATCTGCAAAACCCATATTTGTTTTCCTGCCTTTTCCAAAGTTAGTCCTTCCAAACTTGGTCCTTGATAGATGTGTTTCTCCTTTCCCCACAGACCCTTCCCTGACATTTCTGAATGCTGGGCTTGAACTATTGACTTGGAGGTCAAGACCCAGGCTGAGATCAAGAGTAAGACCCTAAACTGACTGAGACACACAGGTGCCCCACCAGACATTTTTCAAGGAAAAAAAACAAAAAAACAAAAAAACCTCATACTGTGGGTAACAAAAACAGTACTTCTTACTGGCTCTGGATTTCCTTTCCATAGTCCCTTATCAACAGCTTCTTTTACCTCTGAAGGGTGATTCAGCTATACTTTCTATCTTTCCTCCTAGCCCATAGTAGACCTGGCTTTGTGGGTCTTTGGAAAACTCCATACAAACTTTTCCTGACCAACAGATCAGGGAGTCAGCATTTTACAACAACAGGAGGCTTCTTATCTGGACGGACTCTCAAGTGTCCATTCAGCACAATAAACTCTAGGATCTATCATTTGTATGCCCTTACTCTTTCCTCAGAGCATAGCTCAAGGAACTGTGTATGCCCCCTCGATCGAACCTTTATATATCGTCTGTGGAGATTTTCTTCCTTCGGAGATTCTCTTGACCAGGATATACACTCACGTCATCTGTGCTCTCACAGATTCCTTGCAGTCCTATTCCATGGTTGCATTCCGAAGACTTATCTTTCCCTCAAGTACTGTCCTCAAGACATCGTCCTCAAGACAATGTCTAAACTTCTAGCATGCCACTCCATGTATTAGCAAACTGGACTTCTCTTTCTCTCAGCTGAATCTTTTCCCTCTCTTCTTTCTTCTATTCCTGGCTCTCGTTCTCTCTGCTTCAGATCTATCAAACTACTCACTCCATGCTTTTTTTTTTAACTGTGTGGCCTCCAAAAACATTCTTCCCCACCTTTACGATGCTGCAGTACTGTTCTACATTTGCACAACTCCCACTCATCTTTAAAGCAACAATTCAAATGTCATTTCCTCTCTGAAGGCTTTTCTAATTCCTCAATACAGATTTAGTGATATTTTCATTTGGAGTTAACATGTGTCTTAACACTTAACATGTGTCTGTGTGGTTGAAATCAGTGCACCCCTTTACACTTAGTTGTATTTTTCTCTAGACTGTAAACTTTTAGAGGTCTGGTATTCAAACTTATCTTTCTAGTCCTCTTTGCCTATGACATGGTCTCTTCACTCCTTCCTGCTAATTAAATTTATAGTTTTAGACCTGGATTGACAGATTTAGACCTTATTTTGCTTATACATTTCTCTTATCATTTTAAATATTTTTTTCACCTTAAAGCAGCACCATGTACAATCTGTGAGGACCAGTGAAAAATGA